TACGGACTCTTAGGCTCAAGAGATCCTTCCTCGTACCTAGGACTACAAGCACATGCTATTACTCATGGGTACTTCTGTTTACTCGTTTATCTTATACAGATGTGGGTCTCACTGTGTTGCCCAGGCTGGACTGCTGGGCTCAAGCAATCCTCCTGCCACAGCCTCCCAAGTAGCTGGGACTACAGGTACATGTCACTGTGCTTAGCAAAAAGAAACTTTTTTCTGAGACAGAGTCTAGCTCTGTTGCCAGGCTGAAGTGCAGTTATGCAATCTTGGTTAACTATAACCTCCACCACCTGGGTTCAAGTGATTCTCCTGCCTCAGCCTCCCAAATGGCTGGGAGTTACAGGCACGTGCCACCAAGCCCAGCTAATTTTGTATTTTTAGTAGAGATGGGGTTTCACCATGTTGGCCAGGATGGTCTCGATCTACTGGCCTCATGATCTGCCTGTCTCAGCCTCCCAAAATGCCGGGATTACAGGTGTGAGCCACCACACCTGGCCAAAAGAAACTTTTAAAATGCAAAATGTAGGGTACAAAGAAGTTCATTTTTTCAAAGAATAGCAATTATGACTTTACATTAATCTCTAGTATAGTTCAATACCATATTTCACCGAATCTAAGATCCCACTGGCTATATCATTTTATGTAAAAGAAGCTAATAAAACCATGACACAGTGCTAAGACATCACTAATTGTAGCACACATTCTAATTTTAGAGACATTAAAATGTAAAAAAATGTCAAAAAAAAGCACTGTTTCATGTAATTTGATAAAATTACAGAAAATCTTAGTTATGTAACATGAAATACATGTAAAAATACAAAGCGCATATATAAGCTAAGAAGTATAAGTCACCCATGAACCTACCACCCATCTTAAGAACTAGATTACTAATAAATGCCTTGAATCGATCTGTGTTCCTTAACTTTATCCACATGCTTCCACAAGAGGTAACCACTACCCTGAATTTTGCATGCGTAATTCTCTTGCTTTAAAAAATAGTTAACACATAGGTATGTATCTTTAAATAAAATACTATATATTTTTGCTTGTCTAATCAATTCCAAAAGTCTTACTTCCTGTTCCCTTGCCTCTCTGTACAACTATAGACCCTAGACTCCTATTTCATACTTTCAATCTCCAAATAGGCCATGTACTTTTCCCTCTTAATTTCTTGTCACCATCAAATGCCCTCACATTCAATCTGTCCAAATCCTAACGTTTTTATGGAGCTTAAATGCTCCCTTCCTGTAAGATATCTCATCTGAACTCTTCATCTTTAATATCTCCCACTCTATGCTCCTTAGCACTTAAAGCTCTATTATTTTTAAACACTTATTTTACTCGGTCCTAAATCATAATTTCTTGCTGAGTGAAGGAGTGGGCAAGTTAGAAGGTAGGAACTCTACTTGCCTATTACCCTCTGTTTATGTCCCCTTCACTGTTCTCAATTAGTAGTTTGGATGATGTTCTAGCCTGGACTCAAATGTTTTATAGCAAACTAAAGCCAAGTTTTACAGTCACATTTGGGTTAAAGCATTGAATGGTGAGCAGTGCTCACCTGAGGTTTTATAATAGTAAGGGCAAGCAGAGAAAAAGCCGAATGCAGAGGAGGATTCTCAGGAAAAGCGAGCTGAGGCTAAGTTCCACACACTCTCCCTTGTGACCCAGGGCTCTCCATTCGCTGCAAACCGTAGAGGATGAGGTTTGATCTTCTTAAAGAACAGGTCTTTTGCCAAAAAGCTGGGGGTATATCTGAGTGCCTGACTTGAGTAAAAACTTTGAAGAAAGTAATCAAGTTGAATCGATCTTTAAATCCTATACAACTTAAGGTATTTGTATTTATCAAATGCTGGCTAAATTTTTTGGATGTTAAAATGTCAGATGAGCTACACAATATAAATTCAAATGAGAGTTCTTTAATGGAAGTCCACATAAAAGGCTCCTTTTCACGCTCTTCGGCACTGTATGCTGCTTACCTGAGAGATATCCACTCATGCTTTTGTCAAGACTATTGAATTTTTGCCGATATTTTAATCTTGAAGGCTGAGGAACTGCCCACTCTGAGGTCCCAGTCTTGGGTGAGTTCCCTGAGAGTGAAGCAGTCGAGGAAGTTGAGCTATAAAAAAATTTATTTAAAATTTTTATGTTACTAAATAAAATATATTTAATTAAACTTTGTAAGACCAAGGCATTAGGAATCTTATATACCAGGGGTCCCGAACCCCCAGGCCACAGACCTGTTAAGAACCAGGCTGGACAGGACGGGGTGAGTGGCAGGCAAGTGAGCACTACCGCCTGAGAGCTCTAGCACCTGTCCGATGAGAAGTAGCATTAGATCCTCATTGGAGTGTGAATCCTATTGTGAACAGCACATGTGAGGGACCTAGGCTGCATGCTGCCTTTGAGAGTCTAATGCCTGATGATCTGAGATGTATTAGTTTCATCCTAAAACCATCTCCCCCTTCAAGTCTGTGAAAAAACTGTCTTCCATAAAACCAGTCCCTGGAACCAAAAAGGTTGAAGACTGCTGTTTTATACTATAATGGTGACTGCTTTTGCATTTTACATTTTTTTAAATTTTAAGCAATTATCACTATTTTTAGTAAAGCAAATACCATAAGAAGCATAGAACTCCATGAAACTACCACATATAAAGAACCTACTATGTGCCAGGCCTTATAATGTACTAAGACCTTTACAAATATTCCTCCCAACAAACTTGAAAAATATTACCATCTCCATCTTTTAGGCTGGTAAACTATGGCTCACTGATGTTGAAAAAAACAAGGTCACAGAATCAGTGAGTGTTCAAGCTGGGATATGAATGTTGTTCTTCTAGGTCAAATCTAACACTCTCCGGACACTGCCCTGAAGAGTATAATAGTGATTTATATGAAGGATGATTAATGTAATGAACACTGATGCATTTGTGCTTTGTAAAATGTAAAAGATACTCAATTAGTAGAACCTGCTCAAGAAAGAAATCAACAATGTACAATGAGTATGAGACATCTTGGGAAACGTATACATTTTTTAAAGGAAAAGTACACAGTTTTGGGCAAAAAAATTGGCTAATTAAAATGTAGCAGAATATTTTTAGTTTATATGAAGTATTTTTTCAGAAATAAAATATCACAGACACTTAATAATTCTTTATTTTATGTGAGCTATAAATAGTAAATTTACCTTAAGCATTTGTACTTTGGCATTATAAAGTAAAACTCAGATAAGCTCAAAGCTTTAAAAAAAAAGATTTGTTGGCCGCGCCGCGTATGGTGGCTCACACCTGTAATCCCAGCACTTTGGGAAGCTGAGGCAGGTGGATTACGAGGTCAGAAGATCAAGACCAGCCTGGCCAAGACGGTGAAACCCCATCTATACTAAAAATAGAAAAATATAGCTGGATGTTGTGGCGGGCGCCTGTAATCCCAGCTTCTCCAGAGGCTGAGGCAGAAGAATCGTTTGAACCCGGGAGGCGGAGGTTGCAGTGAGCCAAGATTATGCCACTGCACTCCAGCCTGGGGGACAGAGCAAGACTCCATCTCAAAGAAAAAAAAAATCATTTGTTAAATAAAGACTTCTTATTGAAAGCATAACAAGTTATCAAAGTTAGGTATTCATACCTACTAGATCCTAAATCAATCAGAGACTGGGCTTTCTGTATACTAGCACCTCCAAATCCTCCCATCATCAGACTATAAGATGACCCATGAGGCAATGCTATAAAAGAAAAAAAGAAGGAAAAGTATGAAAGAAATTTTTATCTGTTCAAACATAAATATAATAGTTTCTTTCTTTACATGAAATAACGACTCATTAGAAACAAAGTACTCACTTGAAGAAGAATAAGGAATGGATAAAGGCTGAATGAGACTGGCGGTTCCATTTGGTAATGATGATGTGCTAACAGAAGGCACTAGGGGAGTGGGCATCATTAAAGGAGGAAGGTTGGTCCCTGAAGTCGCAGAAGACAATGATGTTATAGGTGCAGCTGGAGGCAATGGCTGAGGAATGGACAGATTGGGCATGCTTCCCATTCCTAAAATAAAAAGAAAACACGTCTTCCAGTGTTAAGAAATCAATTATAAAACACATACAAAAAAACAAAAAACAAACAGTTTACAGTACAGTGGGCAGACTCTATGTTTACAGAAACACCACAGAGAAATTATCCTTAAAAAATTCACTGCTTTGACCCAGCAGTGAGGGAGATAAACTACTGCTCTTAATATTAATATTCTGGTCTGTATGAACTTAGAAAACACCTAGTAAAAAGTTAAATATTCTCTCTCATCATGAATAAAACTAAGCAGCCTTTTCCAATGGAATATGAGTATCCTCAAGGAAACAATATATTACCAGATCAAACGAGGTTTTTTGTAAAGGGATAATAAACACAGTGCTACTAAGTTACTTGACTAAAACACACTCTCTCTCTCTCTCTCTCTCACACACACACACACACACACACACACACACTCCTCCCAAACAAAAAGGTTCTAAGCAGTAGATACTTTCTGAGATTCACATGTGCACATGCATTATTTGCAAAAAAGTATGTCACATATTTGACTTTTCTTGCAACATTGCTATGAATTCAAGGACAAATCTTTAAAAGGAACAAAGTGATGACTTTTATTCATTTATTAACTGCAGAATACTAACATATAAATATGGTCACACAATGATTTGGTATTTATATCAAAAGTTCACTACAACAGTGAAATAATTTTGTGGTTTGTTGTTTGAGATGGGGGTCTCACTGTGTTGCCCAGACTAGAATGAAGTGGCTATTCACAGGTGTGATCATAGCACACTACAGCCTCAAACTCCTGGATTCAAGCAATCCTACCCACAGCCTCCCAAGAGGCCAGAACTACAAGCACACACGCCCATAACCAGCTCTAGAATTCTGTGTTCTAAGATCTGTAGTGAAGGAACATGTTTTAGATACATAGACATACCTAATTGAATGTTCCATTCAAAATGAGTGCTTTTCACATATAAGAAACTGTCTAATTAAAATTAACAGAAAACATACGAACTGGTTATTACTGATGAATATGTAAACTTATTAGCCCAAAGTCTGCAACTTTTGGCCCTAAATTTAGCTGGCTAATAAACATTTTCAAAATATTCGGCCAAATGCAGTGGCTCACGCCTGCAATCCCAGCACTTTGGGAGGCTGAGGCGGGCAGATCACGAGGTCAAGAGATCGAGACCATCCTGGTCAACATGGTGAAACCCTGTCTCTACAAAAAAATACAAAAATTAGCTGAGCATGATGGTGCGCGCCTGTAGTCCCAGCTACTCTGGAGGCTGAGCCAGGAGAATTGCTTGAACCCAGGAAGCAGAGGTTGCAGTGAACCAAGCTCATGCCACTGCACTCCAGCCTGGATAAGACAGCAAGACACTGTCTCAAAAAAAAAAAAAAGAAAATTTCAACTTACATAAAATTTTAAATTACCTCCCAAATCAAACCATTTCATTTGAGCTTAAAACTACTCAAATTTTTTTCTATATTACTCATATATAGAGAGAGAGGAAATTAAGAATAGTATTTGGTATTGGCTATACCTAGGGAGACCATATAATTTATCACCCAACTATGAGTTGTTAAAGGAGACATTAACTGGATCAGATGCCAGGAAAAAAGGCATAATAAACCAGAAGTGTCCCTAGAAAATCCGAACACATGGACACTCTACCTGTGACAGTGAATTTAATATTTATTATCTCTAACATGAAAATTAACTTGCAATCTGGGGATTGTCATTTTGTGCTAACAAATCTTTTTCTAATATGCAAATATGCCTAGGGATAAAGTTTAAGTAGCAAATATGGGTATTTACGTTAATATATACATACCAAAACGAGCAGAAATTAATGGAGAAAACAAAGGGGGTTGCTTCATAATAGGAGGGAGAACCACAGGCAACTGCTGGCCTTGAAGCTTCAGTTTGATGAGTTTCATAGCTATGGAGAACTCTTGCTGATCCATCTTCCCATCCTTGTTTAGGTCTGATAAAGTCCTAAAGCAGCATGAGGTAGGTAAATTGGTATGTGGGGTAGTGGTGGGAAAACTAATGTTATTTTGGGGGTTGATGAAGTAAAAACAATGATATAGCATTCATGTGTACATCATTACTAAATTTAAAACATATATATATCTAAAATATATATAACATAATATGTAAAATGTATCTAATAACAAAAAGATAAAACCTACACACTAAGAAATACTGACCAGAGATAACAACTAATAAAACACTACCTATCTATATAGAATCTAGAGACCTTTGGACTGAATTCCACCAGTTTAGTAGAAAAAATTCAGGAGTATAATACTTCTAAATTTAATTTATTCATTTGTCCAAATATTTATTGAATACTTGCTATGTGCTTCATACTCTGTCAGGCAGAATATTCCAAGTGGAAAGATGGGGTCAGGGTTGTTACTTACTGTAAATGTTTTTAAAAAAAAAACAAATATTACAGAGAATAGTTTCTTTAAAGAAGGAGCAGGGGAAGGGAGGAGTGATTTGAGCTTTATAGATTATGAAATAAATGAAACCACAAAACAACAGAAAGAGGATTTTTAGATTCTGCCAAATTATAAGGAAATTTTTCTCAGTGATAATGTAAATATCTTTCCTTAGAAATTCTAATGAAATCAGAAATTTGTCCTAGAGAACTAAACCCAAATTATTTTCACTCATTTGCTCAATAAAATTTATTTTCCAAAAAACTGAAGAAATACTTTTCTTTAAGAGACACAGTCTCATTCTGTCATCTAGGCTGGAGTGAAGTGACACAATCATAGTTCACCGCAGCACTGAATTCCTGGGCTCAAGTGATCCTTCCATCGTGGCCTCCCTGAGTAGCTGGGGCTAGAGGTGTGGGCCACCATACCTGGCTAATTTTTTTTCAATTTTTTGTAGAGACAGGGTTCTTACTATGTTGCCCAGGCTAGTCTCAAACTCCTGGCCTCAAGCAATCCTCCTGCCTCAGACTTCCAAAGTGCTGGGATTATGGTGAGCCATCGTGCCTGGCAGAAATAGTCTTAATAACCAACAGAATGTAACTGAAAACAATTTTATGTTAACACTATATTATAAAAAACAACATATTATCAGAAAATTAGGTTCATCTATAAAAGAAAACACTTTACCATATTTCAGCTAAAACAGGGGCCGGCAGACCTGATTGTAAGAAAAAATTACGTGCTTGATCACCTGAAAGTAATAAAAACAAAACCCAAGCAGCACATTAGTAAATGAAATTATTCCAATGCTTCTGAATAACAATAATGGATATATGCTAATGATTTATTATAATTTTAATACCAATCACTAAATGAAAGAGAAATACAAATATAAAATTACTTACATTACTTTAATAAGACATAATTTTTTTAAAAAAAAAAAGATGGGGTTTCTCCATGATGGCCAGGCTGGTCTTGAACTCCTGACCTCAGGTGATCCACCCACCTCGGCCTCCCGAAGGGCTAGGATTACAGGCATGAGCCACCACGCCCAGCAAGACAGATAATTTTAAAACAAAAGTCACAAATGCACTTCTACTGTATATTAATCAGTGACAAAAGATTACATTATTCATCATAGTTTTTTCACAATTGGGGTCTTCCTTAAAAATATTTGCACTTAGTAAAATTTATATTTAAAAACATTAATCCCTAAAAGAGTTCAATGTAAAAAGTACCAGGTGTTAGGAGAGACAGTCCTCCATGAGTTTCTTCACACTCCTATGTGTCCTGCTGTGTATGCCAATAATGTAAGGCCCTAATTGCTCCCTGCCTGGGTCATTTCTCAGAGTTGGGTTTGTAATAAGCGATCTTGTTTGTTTGTTTCTGTGCTTTTTTTTTTTGAGACAGAATCTTACTCTGTCACCCAGACTGGAGTCCAATGGTGTAATCTCAGCTCACTGCAACCTCCAGTTCCTGGGTTCAAGCGATTCTCCTGCCTCAGCTTCCTGAGTAGGTGGGATTACAGGTGCCCGCCACCATGCCTGGCTAACTTTTATATTTTTAGTAGAGACGGGGTTTCACCATGTTGGCCAGGCTGGTCTCTAACTCCTGACTTCAGGTGATCTGCCTGCTTTGGCCTCCCAAAGTGCTGGGTTTACAGGCGTGAGCCACTGTACCTGTCCCCTATTCTTTTCCTGAATTATACATTTGTTTTCTTGACAAATTAGATTTCAGACTTTTGTTCTGGACCGAACGTAGAAGAAACAGGCGGTACTGTTTCCGAAAAATGGTGTCAGTACAAGCTAATGATTTCAAATTATTAATAATTTAATACAGTAGTGAAATGTTAAAATATGTACGAATTAATATGCACCAAGCCTAATAAAGAACAAACACTCACCAAACTGTAGCTAAATCCTTAATCTAGAACAAACTTACCAGTCAGACCAGGTTTTATAAAAAATAAAATATATTCTACCTATGGAAACAATTAATTATACTACAGATTTTACAACTGGACTTTTTTTTATGTACAAGAATTTAGGTTTTTACCTAGAAACAAAACAGTCCTTTCCACTTAGTTCTATTTGAAAGGAGTGTGTGGGGCTTGGTGGAAAAGGAAAAATGAAGGAGAAAAAACAGTCTTGAAAACATCTACAAACTCCTAGATATTTAGAGCTGAAAGAAAAAGAACCTTGTAATGTACTTTCTCGCATTTAGTCCTGTTATTGTAGTGCTGTAATGTGGCACTTAATGCTCTAGGGGACCTAGAGCAAGTGTTACAAATGCAACCAAAAGTCTCATGAAAATGAGCTTCTTAACAGTGCATGAGCTGGTCTGCAATGGCCTCAGGAAATCCCCCCAGCTATTCACGTCCTTTTTATCCACTACATTCTCTGACTCAAAGGGAAACCTCACTTCACCTCCTTGACCAGAATTGAGCAGACATTGATTTGGCTACCTAGAGCTTTATTTATTCATTTATTAGTCTTCGTCATTTGTATTCCACTAGAACAAAAGAATATATCTTTTCTTTGCATTAATCTAAGTTAAAGGATATGCAATTGTGTTTGTGGGATAGTGCATATTTATGTTTATGTAATTTTATGGGTAGCTTGCTTTAATTTAAAATATTTTCTGTCAAAACCATAGTGCATAGAGCCTCACCATCACTATCATTGTGCAGAATGACTCTACTTGTCAAATTTGCTGAATTCCTAAAATTGTTGCACGTAAACTGCACCTTTTAAAAGAGAATCATGTTTTTCTATTCACTTCTATAATTAGAATAAGTGTCACACAGGAAAAATAAGTGGCCCAATACATATTTTTTTAAAAAAAAATTACGAATTACAACTTTCACCTCAGTAATAATGATGTATTTATCTATGGACACTTTATGTGCATAAATTACCCCCCCAAGAAAAGCCAATAAAAAGTGAAGCTAATTAAACAGCAGATAGTTTGAAAGCAAATGCTACTTGTAAACCACTGTACTGAAGGTAGCGAGAAATTTGGAGACGTGTAAATCAGTACTTGTCCTCAGGGAGCATATATTCTAGTTAAGGATGCACAGCAGAAAAGGTGGAATTGTATACACAATTAAAGATTCAAATAGCAGTTCAATATATTCAGAAGTATTCTTTGCACAATTACATTAATGATTTATATTGACATTGTACCACATAGTTAATTTCTTTTCCTTTTTTGAGGACTTACTGAGTACCACATACTATGGCAACTATCTAAATACCAACCATGCATTATGAGCTCTTCACCTGAATTCAACTTAGGTGAAATTCAGTTTTGTTTAAACAAAGTTTGGGCAATTCAAGCAACAACACTTTGTTTTGTGGTAGACTATATGTTCCTGTTCTTTTAAATGTTGATGCGCAGTAGCTTTGCTACAAATTTTCTTCAGTAATGCTTGTTGAACTAATGGACATTTCTAAGTAGATTTTTGATATTAAGCAATCAAGAAACAGCCTTTGAAGATATTTTCATGCCCTCAATACCAGCTTTGGATGCTATGTTTTCTTCAGTTTTATAATACTGAATTTGTTCTTACTTAGGGAATATGTTCAAAGTTGAGTTGACCAGAATGGAAACATTGTAAATTCTGCAGCAGTGTCTATTTCATGTATAACTAATCATGATCAAAATAAAGATCCTATAGGGACTTAAAGGAATTAACATCCTTAGTCACCACCTTAGTTGTAACCTGACAAAAGGGATTAATGTAAGTTCAGGGGGAAATCTTGGAGGCATATAAAACTTAGATGTCTAAAAATATGCAAGGTACCATACCCAATATAACTGTATGTATCTTTACCCTCCTGCTAAAGAGTAAATAACAACATCAATAACACCAACCAAATGAGATTCTTAGTTTACAAAGCATTTTGGATACATCATCCATTTTGATCTTCAGAACAATTTGTAAGATTGGTAAAGCACATATTATTCATGTTTTACAAATGAAAAGTCTATGAAATTTGAAAGGACAGATGACTTGCTTAAGGACACAGAGCTCTTAAAAGGTGCAGCTGCTTCTCTTGATGCACCAGTGTGACTGGCTCAGAGGAAACAACCACCCAAACGGAATCTTTGCCACACAACTGTCCTGCAAGGCACAGAGGGGTTGCCGAAATGTTATGTGCAGACATTAGTCTTCAGAGGAAAGACTAGCCCTCAGGCCAAAAGGCATACATCACCATGATTTCATGAAAGAAGGAAAGGAGATGTTTTGCTGTCTTTTATGAGGTGTTTTTCCCCACTTATATAGAGCTGTTGGGAAATACTGCAAATTTTCATTACTCAGAGATTGGATAAAATTCTGATGATTTGCCACAAAAATCATAATTGTGTCTAATCTGGTTGCATCTGAGTTCTTTTCAACCTACTAAGAGTTTGGACTTGAACATGTAAAAATATCTCAATCCTGATCAGAAGTGTCCTTTCTGCCTACCAGGATTTATGTCTTTTCTATTGAAAAAATATACGGCCATCATCAGTTGTTGAGTGAGCTCTCTGAAGCTTCTTGCTTATTTGAGAATATGGTTTGGAAATGAAAGAGATCATGGGCCACTTTACTAAAACTGAGTATCATTGGAAATTGATAAAGAATTACAGTTCTGAATCCCATAAGCCATAGACTTTCACTGGCATACAGAGTTCAAAACTGTCAGTAAATTCTGCTACCTGATAAACAGAAAGTAGACTTTCAAATCAAGAAATGTGTCACTTGGTTCTGGAGACTAATAATGCCAGCATATCCTCCACTCAGTATCACACCTTTTAAACATCTATAGACTTCTAGCCTTCATTTGGCTTGAATTGGACATCTGGATCTTCTTGAACTGTTTTTCAGTATTACTACCTGGGAGCCCTAGTTAATATGAAATATTAAGACAATATCACCAACAATGTGGTCCCAGGATACTTGCAATCCAAATTGATGTTTCTTCTATAATAATAACCCTGGGGTTGTAAAGTGTTTTCATATACATGATCTTGTTAAGTCCCACATTAACTTTTCACATAGAGCAATTTGTTATTATTATTTATTATTATTATTTCCATTTTACAGATGAGGAGACAAATAGACTAAGAACATAATCTAAAGCCACATAGCTGGCAAATGACAGAGTGACCATGACACCTAGATTAGCAGGTTATCTCATTCAGAGTCCCACATGTTTTTTCATTAGCCTTGATGAACCTCACAGATTTGTCCTATGACAGTTTTTCTCAGTTAGACTTTAGAATTACCTAAAGGGCTTGTTAAAATATACACACTCAGACATCCACGTCTGAGCATCTGATTCAGTAGGTCTAGAATAAAACACAAGAAGTTATGTTTCTAACAAGTTTCTAGGCAATGCTGGTGCTGCTGGCCCAAGGACCACTCCTTTAGGAGCACTATTCTGTAGAATGTATGCAGTAACTGAATCGCAATGACACATTAAGGCAAAAGAGTCATTAGAATAAAGTATGAATAGGGGCTGGGCGCAATGGGTCATACCTGTAATTCCAGCACTTTGGAAGGCCCAGGTGGGAAGATCATTTGAGGCCAGGAGTTTGAGACAAGCCTGAGCAACACAGCAAAACTTCATCTCTACAAAAATTTCAAAATTAGCCTGGCACGGTGGCACACCCCTGTGGTCCCACCCAGCTACTGGGGACGCTGAGGTGGGAGGATCCCTTGAGCCTAGGTGGTTGAGGTTGCAGTGAGCTGTGAACACCACACACACCATACCACTGCACTCTAGACTCGGTGACAGAGCAAGACCCTGTCTCAAAAAAAAAAAAAAAAAATTGCATAGGCTGCCACATGCTTTTTTT